CCCCTTGCGTTCTAGTAGCTTCCCGCCTTGCTTGGGGTGAAACGCTTAAAAATAAAAAAAATAAAAATACATACACACACACATATATATATATATTTGGTTAGATTGATGTGAATTTGTGACCCTGGGTTTCAAGCTTTTACGATCGTCAGACAAACTGATTAATTTTTGAAAATTTTGCATTTATGTAGGTTGCGTGTATTGGTGTTGTTATGGAAGTGGGGGTGGGGAATCGTCGTCGTGATGTCATTCATGCTAACGCAAACATAGATGCATGTCCGTACACCCGTTGAGGTACGCAGACACACATACACTCGCGCTCGCCCGCCAGGGCTCATACAGACATAAACATATGTGGAGAGTATGGGACGACATATGTATGTATATGTGTGCTGTTGTCTACATATATACGCATTTGATTGTTGAATTTCAATGATGGGATATGTATCCATATTGAGCGCTTTCTAATATATACCGCGCATATAATATATAAATAATAATATATATATATGATATTACACACACACACATATATATATATGTATACACACACACACTTTTCACACACACACACATGTATATATATGAATTTAGGTAAAAATGGCAGCGGTAAAAATGGCAAAAATGGATAAATGAGAAAAAAATGGCAAAAGGAAAAAAATATGGATGAATATCTCATAATGAGTTTATTAAAATCTTGGATACAATACATAATGGAAAAATATGAGAAGTTTGTCAAATTAAAAAGAATATTCAGCTAAAGCTCCCCCCTTCCATGAGATTTTACTTTTTAGGCGATTACGTCTGAACACACTGAAAAACTTTGGAAAAAACAAATATAGATCCACTTGATGACGGATTCTGGTATTGAAATCAGAAACCGACATTAAGCGGTGATTATCAGAAAACAGTTCCTCGTCAGTTTTGTACACTTAGAGTTTTTTTTTTTAATTTCACTAGTTTGAACATGTGGGAATCAGTAATGCAGTCAAATAACAAAACAATATATTGGATACATTATTACTATGACGTTTAATAGATTTAAATTTTGTTACATTTCTATTTATAAAAAAACTGTTAGACTATTTAAAAAATAGAATAAAGTATTTAAAAATGTTTTTAATATAAACTATTTAAAAAGTATGTTCACACTAAAAGAAAACATTCGAAATATAAAAAATAATAAATAAACTATTTAAAAAATATTTTCAAAGAAAACATTCCTATTAGAAAAAAAAAAGTTTTATTTGATTATGTATTTGTAAGAAAAAACATTCCAATTAAAAAAAAATGTTTTATTTGAATGGGATTCCTAACCTTCGCCTTTGCGATTTTTCCGATTCCCCGATTCCGAGTATTCGTCCCAACACTAATATATATATATATATATATATATATATATATATATATATATATATATATATATATATATACATAATACACTTATTTTATATATATATACACTAATACTAATATTATTATATATATATATATATATATATATATATATATATATATATATATATATACATCTAATCCTAATGTCAGCTATCAATTATAAAATTAATTATAGTCATCAAATTCACTTAAACACGCTACGATTTGTGCTTTTATTGCAATTAGGAGTAGGAACCTAGCGCCCCCACCAAAAAAAAAAAAAAAATTCTAAAAATCGACATCGAAAGTTTAAAAAAAATATTTTTAATACTAAGAGCGGGAACTTAGCCCCTATTTAAAAAAGAGGAGAAGGAGCCTAGCTCCCCGCCACTAGAGTAAATATCTATTTTAAAATATTTATTTTAAAATATTGAGCCCTATTTAAAACTAGAGGGATGGGAGCTTAGACCCATCCTTCTCGAACGGTCATAATTTTCTGTTGTCGATTTGCCATTTTTCCTATTTATCCACTTTTGCCATTTTTTTCCTATTTATCCACTTTTGCCATTTTTACCGAGCACCGTATATATATATATATATATATATATATATAAATTCCCAAAAGGATAGAATCCAGGTAGAACTCAATGTCCAGGAGAGAGTAAAAATATAACATAAAAGGCTCAAACACTAATATTCCATGGTTATAATTACATTGGATCGTGATTACTATTTCAATGTAATAAATTAACCATGAAATATTATTTTTTGAGTCTTTTATATTACATATATATATATATATATATATATATGTACATGTGTGTGTGTGTACTCTCGTTTTTCGAGCACACTCGTTAACTAGAGCCGCTAGTCAATCCTTGTCGCAGACACGTGCTCAGGCACATAGTGTACCTGTGCTTTATATTGCAACTAAGCTGAGCAAATATAAGTTACAGTTTTTGGAAGAGAGCACCTAATCTGCCGTGATCAGCATTTTGAACAAAGGGCCAGCGTGTGCTGAATCCTTTCGCCCCAGCAAAACAGTTTCACCTGCCCAATTTCACTCACAAGACTTCGGTCAATCCGTGTTATGGTTTTCAAGCAATAAAAAAAGGCGCCGCACACTGAGATTGACTCCCACCAAGAATGATAACATCAAGAAGTCACCTTCTTGGCAAATCGATGATGGTTAGATTCGAACCCGGGTCTCATAATCCGAACGTTCTAACCAATAAGCAACGCATCTCTATATCTCTTTCACGAAAAGAAAAATTTACGCTCCCCGACAGAAATCGAACCTGCGTCCTCTCTTATTCCGCTTATCATTTAAGACCATTTCTAACATAAAAATCTGGAAAACCCTTTTTTTCATAGAGAAACAAAAGACAGGAAGCTGTGGTGAGCCATGATCATCAACATCCTGAAGGGACATAGCATATGGAGAGTGCGAAAGAGAAATAAAGAGAGAACCATAACCAAAAGACGATTTATTAAAGAATTCAACTTCTAGACAATGATATATGATAATAGTCTTTCAAGATTTAGGAAACCTGATAGATGCCGCTTTAAAATTGGCTTTCATAAAACGGGAGATTTTTTTTTTAATGTTATTTTTCGTTATTATTAGAAATAAAAAAAATAACTGGTGTTCTCTAAGAGATTTGCTTTTGGCGAGATCAAAAAGAAAATGCTTTCAAAAGAGATTTCTCTCTCTCTCTCTCTCTCTCTCTCTCTCTCTCTCTCTCTCTCTATCTATCTATCTATCTTCCCAAAGCTTTTCAGCAAACATTAATTTTGTCTAGTTTTTTATTTATTTATTAATTTATTTGTATCATGACATATTCTAGAAACGACTTTAAAGAACACCCTATATATATGTGTGTGTGTGTGTGTATAGAGTAAGGAGAAAAAGAATGCTGAAATAGAAATAGTAAAAAAAAAAAAGGAAAGGAAGACAAAGATGAACTGAATAAAAAAAAAGAACTGAAGACTTTAATAAAAGAAAGAGTTATGAAGTAGAATAAAAGAAAACTAGAAAGAATAACAGTTATAAACATAAGAAAGAAATGAAAGAAGTTGAAAGTCCGACTGGATTCAAATAAAAAGAACGAAGGAAAGTGAAAAGGAAGAAAAGAAAACTAAGAAAAAAGAAAACTAAAAAAAAAAAAGGTACAAACTGTCAGAAACATAAATTCAAAAAAAGACAATTAAAGAAAGAAGATTGAAAGAAAAAAGAAAGAAATTTAGAATAAAAAAACAACTAGAAGAAAAAACAATCTTAGATTGAAAGAAAATTAAAAAAGAAAGTTACGTCAAAGTTGAGAAAAGAAAAAGAAACAAAGAAACGCCTTGAATTTAGAATAAAAAAATAGAAGATGAAAAAAGAAAGAAAAAAGACGACAAGCAATCAGAAGAAAGAAAGAAAGAAACAACAAATAAACAAACAAAAAAATAATACAGAAAATAAGAGAGAAGTGAAGGAAGAAAAAAGAATAAAATCAAAAAATCAGAAAAATGGAAAGAATGAAGATACAAACTGTCAGAAACCAATATCCAAAGAAAGAATGAAAAAAAAAAAAAGAAAGAATGATTGAAAAAGAAAGGAACAAATGTGTACAACCTATAAGAAACGTAAACGCAACGAAAGAAAGAAACTGTGACAAAAACGCAAAGAAAGAAAAAAGAAAAATAGAAGAGAAAGAAGAAAAAAAGAATGAAAGAAAAAAGAATAAGAAGGAAAGGAAAGAAATCAGAATGAAAATGAAAGTAAAGGAATATATTCAATAAAATCTCAGAAAAACTGGGAAAAGAAAGTAAAAAAAAAAAGAAGGAAATCCATACGGTAGGAACAGGGAGGAAATTAAATGTTTTTTGAGAGCAAACGTAAGAAAGTAGAAAAAGAAAGATGGTGTTTATCATGCCCACGCCAACCTCTTTCCGAGTGATTTTATGTTGTTCTTAAAAATGAAGTTAGAATGTCGAGGAGTGAGTGAGTGCCCAAGTTGAAGCAGGTTTTTAGATTCCTTTGAGAAGGAATCTTGATCCAGGCACATCACACAATTGCTGTTATTAATCATCTAAAATCATGTCTAATGTCATTTACTGCTAGACGCTGGATTGTATGTGATGATGGGTTTAAAAAGCCCGAAGATTCTTATCCGTTTTTGATGAGTTGGGTTAATGTTTTCTTCGCCTAAGCAACAGATAGATGTAAGAAAGTAAGAGAGAAAAAGGAATATAGCCGAGTGTTGAAGTTTGTAAGAGAAAATAAGAGAAGAAAAAAGTTAAGTTAAAGGAGAAGGAGGAAATATGGGGTATGATGGTGTGTGTGTGTAGGGGGGGGGGGTCAAATGCTGACAATATAAAGATGAAGAAAGACAAGGAATTAAATCAAGCTAGGAATGAAAGGAAAACAAAAGAAAGAACAATGAAGAAAAAAATGAGAAAAGCTAAACAAAAAAAGAAAGACGGGAATAAAAAGAAAAGAAAAACAGATGAAAAGAAAAAGATAGAAAAGGAACAGAACAAATGAATAAAAGAAAAAAGAAAGAAAGAAAAAGATAAAAAAAACAAGTGAAAATACAGATAGAAAAAACGAAAATAGAAAAAATGAAAAGAACAGATCAAAAGAAAGAAAGAAAGAAAGAAAGAAAGAAAGAAAGAGAAGGTAGAGAGGAAACAAGAAAAAGATAGAAAAAGAACAAAACAAGTGAAAGAAAGAAAAGAAATACAGAAAACAAAATATTGGAAAAGAGAACGAGTGAAAGAAAGAAAGAAAGAAAGAAAGAAAGAAAGAAAGAAAGAAAGAAAGAAGGAAAGAAAGTTAATGAAAAGTAAAAGATAAAAGGAACAGGAGAACGAATGACAGTTAAGAAAGATGCAGAAGAACAGGTGAAAAGAAAAAGAAAGAAAGGTGGGAAAAAGGGAAAAGACAAGTAAAGAGAAAGAAAGAAAGAATAAAAGGATGTATGATACAAAAAAAGAATGAGGGACAAAGAATAGGAGGGAGAGATAATAGAAAGACGAGTGAAAACCGCAATGAAAAAGAAAGAAAGCGGTGGCTAGAATAACGACAGAAACCGAAAAAGAGAAAGAAAGAAAGGAAACATAAAGGAAATATCAGAAATAAATTCATAATTAATTAAAGAAAGAAAGGAGATTCGCAGCAATAAGAAAATCTTTAAAAAAAAATGCGACAGCGAAACAACTTCAAAGAAAATTAAAAACAAACAAAAATAACAGAAGCAACGAAAAGAGAAAGAAGGAAAGAAAGGAAGCGTAAAAAATAAACAAGTCAAATGGCAGATTTTTATCACACATCAACAATATTAACTTCAACTGGTGAGCGCCCAATGTACGGGAGATAACTCTGGTTGTAACTGCGAGCCATCACCACATCAAAAGAGAGGTCATCCGACCGTCAGTAAAAGAAAATATTTAGCTCTCTCTCTCTCTCTCTCTCTCTCTCTCTCTCTCTCTGTGTGTGTGTGTGTGTGTGTGTGTGTGTGTGTATCTTTCAGTGTCTGCCGCTACTAAATCTCAGAGTACTTAAGACTAGTGACTCGTTCCCGTGTGATTTCCAGCTTTACATAAATAAGAGAGTGATATTGTTTGGGTTTCATGTGACAAGTACGGATGACTAAAAGTGAAACAATATACCCCCAAGATGGACTATTTAAGAATCATTATTCTTTTTTAATGGCGTTTGAAAAACAAAACAAACTTTAAAAAGATGAAAACATGCGCAGAAATAAGATGCCTCAAGTTAAGCAATGATAAACGCGGTTACTGTCAGTGTGAGTGCTACTGCCATTTATTTATTTATTTATTTTTTGCTAAATTATTTGCGAAACAGCAAATGTTTATTCTTTTCTTTCTTTAGTAAAAAGAAAAAAATTACGAAATAAGCATCAGTACCCCGCCGTAGTGCCATACTTACAACGATAACTATCCTGATCTCCATCCTCATTTGGTATTTTAGGATTATGGTCTTGTACCAGACTAAGCTATAATTTTTAAAATGCCATGCTCCATCAGAATGTAGGCAATCATAGCTCTCCACAGATTCCTTTCCTTTTACCATCAGAGAAATGTCATGACTTCTGGGGAAATATAATTGTGTAGTTTCCCGTTGCCTTCTTCACAGTTTTGAATTCACAGTTGTCATTCTACTAGACTGGCTGCAAACCAAGGCTTCAGATCCGAGTCTACTCTGCTATGTAACCAATAGTTTCTGAGAAGAGAGAAAAGATGAATTCATGACTTTCCCGATGGTATTAGTGCGAAAGTGAATGGGACTGAGTTGGTTGAACTCGGATCGCCAATGCCATTTTCCGAGCCGGAATTATTAAATATCAATGAGGAGCTAAATAACGGTATGTTTGATCGGTTCGATAAGGTCACATTGGCAGCTGATCACAATAATGATCTACAATCCGTTGTTAACTGGAGCAAGAAATGGCTTGTTAATTTTAACGTATCTAAAACGAAACTGCTCTCTTTTTGCCTTCCACCAGCATGGCTAATGTTAACATCTACAAGTGTGGCTCGTTGCGCCTACTCGGGCTAACATTTCCCGCTGACATGAAGAGGAAAGATGTTTTTTGAATCAATTGCAAGTCTGCTGCTAGGAAATATGGTTCGCTATCATACACACTTATAAGGTTACCATTCGCCCATGCATTGAATATTGCTGCCAGATCTGGTCTGGTGCTTCTGTTACCTATTTAGAGATTCTTGATAAAATCCAAAGAAGAATCTATAATGTTATTGGTCCTGACCTGTCACCTCGGCTTCAGTCATTTTCCCACCGCTTTAATGTGGTTTCCCTGTGCCTTTTTAATAAGTATTTTCATAGTGATTTTTCTGATGAACTTTCCTATTAATCTAAGTGCAGTACGCAGTAATAATTTGGCGGCAAGATCTCATCATTTTACAGTTGAAATGGCTAAATGTAACCGTAAGTTTTATGCTAACAATTTTTTTCTCTCACAGTTTTCACTTATAGAATTCTCTTCCGTCCTCTTGCTTCACAGTCAACTTTGATCTTCAAAAATTTAAATGCAATGTCAGTCGTTATCTTTTGTCTTAATTCCTTGTATCTGAGTATCTTTATTGCCTTGCTTGGGGTGAAATAAGTGAAAAAAATTACTGCAGCACTTCGTCGATTTTTCGAATACCTTGGGACTGGAGTTGAAAAAACATGTTTGGATAATTCAAATTTCCAGATAATTGAATAATACTTAAATTATCGAAAAGAATGAAAGAAAAAAATTAATTTTCTGAAATGAATATATTTATATCATCGAATATTTTCACATGCTTTGTTCACGGGATTTTCCAGCTAATTTTTTATGAAAAATTGCGTCAATTTTTGTTTTTGCTTTCCGACTGGCCTCGCGTTTTTCTGCCGCTAACTCCAGAAGTTGCTTTAACGTAGATGTATTTGTAAGGGTGGATTCTGTTTGAAAGCGCAATCAACTCAAACATTTGTCAAATATAATCAGTGCTTCGGTATTTGATATTGGGCATTAGGGCTGTTGAATATCAGTATCGTCCTCCACTGGGGTTATGAATTCAACAACATCCTGGTCACTTAGGTGTTCATATCCGGGCCGTCTTCTGCACCATGTCACAAACATTTAATTTCCTCTGAACAGATAACACTACACTTTTCATTTTGTTTTATCATCCAAATTCCTTGCGTCTTAGTAGCTTTATTGCCTTGCTTGGTGTGAAATGTTTAAAAAAAGAAGTCCGGGCTGCAAATCAGCCGAATATTTATGATAACACCAAAGTTGAATATTACAGTTCGTATGTAATACAAATAAATAAAAAATCAATATCTGAATAGATCTGAAAATTATTTTTGTTAGAATTAATCAGAAAGAATTAACACGATTCAACCAAAGAATGTTACAAGTCCAGTGTTTCAAAATTAAATTAACAGCGTTTTGGGAAGCCATTTACGGGATACTGGGATATTGACAGGAAACGAAATTCCTGCTACAATAATACTTTCTTTCTTTCTTTCTTTCTTAAACTACTGCACACAAAGAAACATCATTTATGGTATACACTTTAAAAATAATATTACTGTATAATACGCTTTCCTTAGCACATACTGGGTATTTTCGATTGATCAATTAATCCTTCTTACGATACTTAACGGTATCAGATAATGCCGAGTAAATACAGTAGCCCACCAACAGCTGAAGCAGCCATTTTAGGAGAAAGCATAAGGCATAACATTTCGAATGAGTTATTGTACATCGGGATTGAAGTTACGAAAAATTGTCCAAAGTTCATGTTTTCTTTCTTGTTCTTTCAACAGTCATTGTGAAGAACGGGCGTTATCAGTATGTTAAGTAAGATTTAGGTGACTGGCGTTGTAGATTGCTTGAATAAGAGTTGGAAATAGTTCAAAGTGACAGAACATATGTATTGATGGCTAAAAAATCTTTTATGGAATGGTTGTATGCAAAGGTAATGATTGATGGCTCCACCGTATCTTGATGTTATGGAAATGCCAAGACCTATATCAGTTATGCACTGGGATAATCTTAAAACTTCCGCTAAATATGAGTAAACAGACCATTAAGATAAATTGCAGATAAGCTTACTGAAAATGAAGGGGAAATGTTTCACAACACACAGTACATCGATCCTTGTTACATAGAGTGGTGTACAGTCAAAGGCGAGACAGAATACAGATTTCATCCCATGTCCCACACCGCAAGCGACTTCAATAGCTATGCAAGGATCAGAAGGGGACCTTGTATCAATGGAGAAAAGTCTCTTTCTACGATGAATCTTTTTTTCTCCTGAATAAAGTGGACGGCAAGATACGTGTACAATGTCATCCCCGAGAAGCGATGGTATCAAGATACACCGTGGGAAAGCAACAATCCAATTGAGGCAGTGTGATGGGTTTGGGTAATTTTTTTTCTTGGGAAACACAAGGTTTTATCATTCCCGTGCAAAAGTACTTTGTCACGTACCAACGACTTTGACATCATTGAAAACCAGGTACACCCTTTCATAGCCACACGCTTCGACGGTGGCTGTGGCATCTTTCGTCAGAACAGCACTGCATGAATTTAACAGAAATAGTTTTAAGAACAGGAAGAAGACCTGACTCCGTTCCTCTGGCCACCAAACTGCTCAGATCCCACTCCGTTTCAAATGCAAATCCGCTTGCTCATTGCAGCCTCGTTCTAATCTTCTTTCTTCAAGTGAATTTTCCATTTTGTGATGTTCACTGGATAAAATTTTCTTAAATGCACAAAACAATGTAATAACATAGGGAATTATTTAAATTTAATTCTACACTTATAGAACAATTTAATGTTGAATCTTGGATAGCAATGCAAAATTAAAATGCATTTAAATAATATGAGAACTTGTAATTACATCTACAATATTACTAGTAAATTTATCTCTTAATAGTTATTCAGTTATATATTTAGAGGGTAAACGTGTTGAATCTAGGATGCTATAATTCCTTTATTCAGACAAAATATATAGTGAGTGATGCATTTTCTGCAGCAAAATTAATAAAAATCCAGTGATGTATTTGTTTGAAAGTAATTGTTACTTGTAAATAAATGCTTATTATTACCGTTTGTATTTTAATCTGTCTTATTAGATGAGACAGGAAATATATAAATACACATTAATAATTATCATATGGTTTTAAGATTATAGTATTATATCGTAATTATGTAGTAACTGTATTCTGTATTATATAGTAAAGAGTGTATTCTGTTTTATATAATAAATTTTATATAGAAATTATAATATATAGTACTTATATAGTAACTGTATTAGTGCATATAAAATGACATTATTCTGTATTTTATAGTAACTATAGTGTTATATCGTAATTATATAGTAACTGTATTCTGCATTATAACAATCTGATTGACGTTTTTGAGTTTGTTAGCGTAACAATGAAAAAGCGGCACATCGTAGAGAGACATATTGCTCAATACATTTTAAATGTTCTAACTTAACGATTAAAGCAATTTCTTGTTCAGTTTTCCACTAAGTCAGTAGTTGT